ATCAAAATATGCTTTTGAATTAGACAATTTCTTGGCCGAGCACCGCGGCCAGGACATTTTTTAATGATGGGATCAGGGGCGCACGAGGTGCATGAACCCCCCCTGGGAGGCAACCATAAGGGGGCCTCATTTATGAAATTATTTCAAATGGTGTGGGGAAAAAATAAAATTTAGACATTAATTAAAGGCAAGTTTTTTCATTTTTTAAAATATTTTTTACATTGGATACTCAGATTAAGCGATCGGGAATAAGGATATCCCATTCTAAAGTTTTCAGCTCTAAAAGCCCTGTTTAGGAATCTGATCTATGAACCTTTTGATCTAATAGGAATTTGATCTAAGAGTAATCTGAGCCGGGAACTTTAGAATGGTGGATAGCAATTTCTTTTTTTGAGTGTTCATGAATATTTATTGTAGGTCTCCTAAGACTTCTTTGGTCAGTTTGCAGCATATATACACTGAAAAACGCATATATATTTCTCATTTATGTCTAGACTCAATGTGTTTCTTCAAATTACCTGCTCTAGTGGCAGCGTATTCACACTGATCACAGGAATATCTCACTCCTTCATGAATACTTTTAATATGCATCTTAAGACTACTGGCTGTAGTGGCAGCGTACTCGCATTGATCGCATGGATATCCCACTCCTTTGTGTTTAGATTAAATGTGTAACTTCAGACTCTGTACACTTGTAGCGACATATTCACACTGATCGCAGGGATACCTTACTCTTTCATGAATTTTTCAATATGTATCTTCAGAGTACTTGCTTTAGTGGCAACGTACTCGCATTGATGGCATGCTTAGTCCTTCATGTTTAGATTCAACATGTTTTTTAAGATGCCATGCTTGAGTGGCAGCGTATTCACAATGAGAACAAGGATATCTCACTCTTTCATGTTTAGTTTCAATGTGTCGATTCAGATTTAGTACACCAGTAGCAACATATTCACACTGATCGCAGGGATATCTCACTCCTTCATGCTTATTTTCAATATGTTTCTTCAGATTTCTTGGCTTAGTGGCAATGTATTCACATTGATAGCAAGGATATCTTACTCCTTCATGTTTAGATTCAATATGTATTTTTAGATTACTTGCTTTAGTGGCAGCGTAGTCGCATTGATCGCATGGATATTTTACTCCTTCGTGTTTAGATTCAATATGCTTCTTCAGATCACCTGATGTATTGGCAACATGATCCCAGGAATATCTCATTCCTTCGTGTTTAGTTTCAATGTGAATCTTCAGATTACTTGCTGTAGTGGCAGTGTATTCACATTGTTTGAATGGATATCTCACTCCTTCATGTTTGCTTTGAACATGTGTCTTTAAATGGCTGGAACATAATTACATTTTTTCACAGGGATATCTTACTCCTTCATGTTTAATTTTGAAATGTATCTTCAGACAATCTACTGTGCTAGCAGAGTACTCACATTGGTCGCATGTTTAGTTTCAATGTGTCGATTCAGATTTAGTACACCAGTAGCAACATATTCACACTGATCGCAGGGATATCTCACTCCTTCATGATTATTTTCAACATGTTTCTTCAGCCCACCTGCTTGAGCGGCAGCATATTTACAATGAGAACAAGGATATCTTACTCCTTCATGCTTATTTTCAACATGTTTCTTCAGCCCACCTGCTTGAGCGGCAGCGTATTTACAATGATAACAAGGATATCTCACTCCTTCATGTTTACTTAGAATATGTGTCTTCAAATTACCGGATTGAGTTGCCACATAATCACATTTTCCACAGGGATAACTTGTATCTCTTTTATCTCTCAGCTTACTCTTTTTAAGTCTCTTTTGTTCAGAGAACAGGGGATCTACTTCAATCTTGATATTTTCATCTGAAAAATTCAAAAAGAGAATTAATAAGATAATTATTAAACCTCAAGTATTTTAAATGTTTTGAAATTTTTAATAATATCTGAAAGTGCAGTCAATTGAGGTAACAAGTTTACAGGTTTATGAGCCCAAAGTTTAAAAAAGTCACAAATCGATCAACCTAAAATAATATATGTAAAAAATGTTTACCCTTACCTTGATTTTCTGTCCTTTTCTCTTTTACATCTTCTCCCGCAACATACACAGTACACGTATCCTCTATAGTAGAGATTTCTTTTTTGATGGTAACTTTATCTTCTTCCATAATTTCTGTTATTCTCTCTGAAATATGTTTTAAAACAAGTTATACTTTTTAAGGGCAAAGAGTCTTGTAACATAAAATAAATAAAAAAAAGAACTGCAAACAAAAATTTACACTGATATCAAAAAAAAAAGGTATCGTCAAGAGGTGAAAGCATCCTTTGGTAAAATGAGAAATCAGGATGTTAAAAATTAAACCCAAGTGCTGAAAGAATGAGAAAGACTGGGAATAAACCAGCTTACTGCAAGCTAGGTCAGTCCCCCCCCCCCTTTCTTTCCTCTAAGTACAGCGCAACATATTCCTCATATCTTATACCCCAAGCGCTATGTAATTTTTCCTACAATTATTTGAACTACAATCACTTGTCATTCAAATAATTTGTCATACACATTATATGTCCTAAATGGCGGGGAAAACTTCATTTGTCCCACACCTCATTTGTCCCACACCTCATTTGTCCTACACCTTATTTGCCCTACACATAATTTGTCCTACACCCCGTTTGTCCTACACATCATTTCTCCTACACTGCACTTTTCCTACATTTCAATTATACTCTACTATTTAATTTTCTTTGATTTTCATACATTTGTGACAAAAGCCTTTTTTATACCTTTGCAATTGTAATATATTTTTTTGTTTATCTACAGTGGTAGGCGATAATAACAAAAAATGAAGACTACTTTGTTATTTTAAATTTTTATTGTTTTCGTATTACAAGTTTATACGTAATCAAAAAGAAGCTTTGTTAATTGACAGCTTGTCTTGCCTGCTATGTTTATATGTATCCATGCTGTTAAACAATTTGATTTAAATAAAAATTAAAATCGAAAGTCGTCTTCATTGTATTTGTGAAATCGCCTACCACTGTATAAATGCTTGAACCACAATTAAACTGATTGCTATGACAAAAAAAACATAACTTAAAGGGATTGTCAACGTAATTTCAAATGACCTTTTTTCAATTTCTAATGCATTCTTGATTGATAAAGCTTTTAAGGGCACCGTTGTGAATCGGACATGCCACTTTAAATAGAGAGTCTCTTGATATTACGTCTACAGTCTCTTTACTAGAAATATTTCCGCCTGGACGTAAACAGTATCTTAGCATCGTATAGAACTCTCGTTTCAGTTAAGTTTAGCAATTGCGAAACTACATTAAATGTGAAGTGTCAATTAATCAATTTTCACAATGCTTATCATTTTTCACAACAAAAATATTGTCGATATATCAAGAAATGCTGAAAACAATTGGAACACGAATAATTTTCTAAACACAAATATTTTAAGATTGTACAGTGAGAACCAACTCTTGTATAGGAAGACGACATTGTTGCAATAATTGAATGTATTTGATGTCGTTACCAAGCAAATGGCTTTACTAGTAACTGATTAAATCGCTTATTGAGCAAAATGGGCCTGTTAGCTCTGCACATTTGCTGTATACAAAAAAAACCTTTCTCTAATCAAAAATGTGGTCGGTATCGTCGTTGCCATAGCTTACAAAATGTTTAATTCTGACAACTTTCCTTTATGAATCCCATAGCAGGTATCCACAAGTCACATTTATAGTAGAGAAACCACACTTTATTCTTGACCACATAACGCTTTTATTAGTTCCGTTGTGAATCTGACATGCCTTTTTGTCCCTTGAAATTACGTCCTCAGTCCCTTTAAAAATAATTCTTCTCCACTTTTATCTCTAGGTTGATTTCTTGGTTTAATCTGCTCGTCTCCGTTTTCCCTTCGTCGGAGTCACCCTCCGAGTCGGAGCCCCTTTTCCGTTTCAATTCATTCTAAAAGTACAAAAGTTCATCAATTTTTTTTTCAACAAAATACCCCAGTTCCCTTTTCAGTCATGGCCCATTATCCGCTTGAAATCCTTCTCTAAAAAGAAGACATTATCCATGTGTTTCTATTATACAGAATAATCCCATCGTAACTGACCATGGACCACCTTTTCCGTTTAAAGACCTTCTAATAAAAGTAAAAAAAAAAACAATCGTTGTAACCCCCCCCCCCCCCACCTAGAAAAATTAGGGCGCAAGTAGAGAGAGTTAGGCATGATTTTCATTATTAAATTAAAAATTTTCTTCCCGCGGTGCAACTTAATCACGCAAATAGTAGTTTATTAGAAACAAGTTCCATCTCCAACCCCAAGCTTGTTTAGTAACAAAAATAACCCAATTCCCAGTATACTATTCCTGGGGGGGGGGAGGGGGTAAAGTACGCATAAAGCTGAAATCTCTATTTGGGTGTTTGTTTGAAAAAATAGCTAAAATCGTAATTTACGATCAAGTGCAGGTAAACGGCGGGAGTAACAAGAGTAACCTGGGCTCCCTGGACAACGCTAAGTTCTAAAGCAAGTGTGCATAAATAAAATAATACCTTTGCTACTTTTCCCTGGCATTTTAAGAATGCTTTCATAGCTTCTTCTATATCCTTCCTTGGACTCATGGGGTGCAGCTCAACTGTGGCTTCTGAAATACGGGTGCAGATATAATTGCGTGAATTGTGCCTGCTGTAATCAATATTGCAAGAAACAAAAAAAGAAATGATATCTAAAAAACAGGATTGTATATTGTTCCTGAATTTCATTTTAGGTATTATTCGCTGAACTGTGGAAAATTTATGACTTTTATGGGAGAATCAATACATTTTGAAACAAATGAAGAAGGATGAAAAATCTAGCCATTTTAAATTAAATTTTCCCAAAAATCTTCATAAATCAAAAAAAATATGGGGGGAGGGTTAATTCTAAAGCATATACATCCATGTATGAAAAAAATAACAGTTTCTAGCTTTTCATCTATTTTTTTTAAACAGCCCCCCACCCTTATTTGGATATAAGAAAACACTTCTTCTCCAATAGAATAGTTCAGCAGTGGAATGCACTACCTGAAAACATCAAAAATGCAAGAAATGTCAAACAGCTTAAAAACATGTATTTGAGCCATGTCCCCCTACCCTGATGAAGTAATCTATCAAACCTCTGTTCTCAGAAATGGTATGGGTCACCAGTAAAGCAGACACTTCTTCCTTGGATCAAGATGGTCTCTTAGAAGTTCCTCTTCAAGATGGAATCAGATCATCTCTTTGAGAAAAACAGAAAAGTAATCATCACAAAAAAACTTACGTTCTATAAGCGCGATAATGTGCTTGTATCGAGAAAAACTTATTTTTCCCAATCGTTGTCCTTTAAAGCTCGCTTTACTCCACAGTTTAGTGCTTCCAATCTTCCTAGAAATCAAGTTTTTTATGCAAAATGTTAAAATTTCGACGTGAATCAAACCAGGTTTCAGGGACCATTCATGAATTAGAAATTAAATTTACTGTTCTACTTTTAATAATTTTTGACTTTAGGCTTCAGGGTCATAATTTTTTCCCAGTATAAAAGGAATAAGAAAAATTGTTAAAATGTTAGTGACCAAAAATTCTTAACTTTTCCTCTAGAAATAACTTATATTCCCAGATTTAGCGAATAACCCCCCCTCCCAAAAAAAAAACAATCAAAGTTTAAGCGTGAAAAATCAGGGGGAAAAAGAAAAAACGTACAACTAATAAAATCTAAAAAGCATATATTTTCAGCCAATATTTGTCTCGAAAATTATTCGAACCTATTTTTAATCATCCATGATAAAGATAGCTTTGTGTTATTTTCTGTCTGAAAGTGTCGTTACAAGAAAAAAAACATGGCCAATATTGAAATCTTACGTAAACAAGCCTCAAAATACAACATGAATAATTAATACCTAAATATTCTTCGAACTGTTTCACAATCATTCCTACCAACCTCTCTCTTCAGACTAATCAACTGAACAATTTAAAAATATCAAACGGGAAAACAGGGGTACATCAGACCCCAGGGGTATATGTATAATAATATATAAAGAATAAGATTTTTGGATGATGTGATTGATTGATTAATAATAAATTCAACATTCTTAACTTTTGATTCTTTACCTTCTAGTTAAAATAAATAAAATGATTAACCATAATTCTTTAGAAAAACCTCTTGAAATTTTGATTCTTGACCTTTGGTTAAAAGTTACCCTACTTAATAGAAAAGAAAAGTAAAGAGTTAGATTTTTGGATGAAATTATTGATTGATTACTAATGAAGTTCAGTTCGAGTAATTCCCCTCCCCAACCCCCCAACCCCCTTAGGAAAATTAAAGAAAGAGATAGATTTTAGATAAAATTGTTTTTAAAATTATGTTAAAATTCACCATTGCCATCCTAAACTCTTGATTCTTGAGCTCCTGGTTTAGTTTATGTAAATCCTCTTCTGCCTCCATTAATGGATAGTCAAGGGATGTAAATGCTCCTTCAATCAGGGGTTTATATTTTCAAGAATTAAACCCCCCCCCCCCCCGGCCCCCACTCCTTCCTCTCTCTCCAGGGGGAACAATTTTAAAAGCTTTACAAGAAAACTAAAAAGTAGAACAATACTGAACGTTTTCCAACTTTATTGATAGATTTCATATATTTTACCCTATAAATCATTTATATTACCAAATACTGTAAACTAAAACCTAAAAATTGGCCAACATTTCCAAAAAAACTGGAGAAAAAACGATTCTCAAGATAGAGGGGGGGGGGATTTTCCCCGGAGAAATATGATTTTCAGAAAATATATATTCCCCTGCCTCCAGTGTACTGATATAGAAGAGTTTCTAGATGATGTACTTTACGCTCCAGTTGATCAAGTTTAATAACAAATTCTGGCTGAGAATCTAGAAGATAATTAAAAAAATGAAAAAAATATGCAATAAATAGTGAAGGAGGAGGAACACAAAAATAAAACGTTCTCTTGGAAGCTTTTTCCACTTTTCGATTCTTTCACCCGAAAAAATCATACAAGTTACAGATACTCTGGGGAAAAATGAAAAATCATACATCAGCTGGCAAGTTTTCCCTCCATTTTTGATTCTTTTACTCAAAATTTCATTTTCCTCTAAAAATCTTAAAGTTTCTACAATTCAGGAAAGCTTTTGTAATGAAACTCATACCTGACTTAGATTTTATAATTTCGCAAATGTTCAGAGGATCATCATGAGTCTCAGTATACCCATCATCTGAAAAAAATACGGAACTGTTCTATACATAATTTCAAATGGTTTTTTCACTTAAAATTACAGCGACAGTCCCTCTAAATGCTAATATGATTAATTGGATGCAAAGAAAACTAAAGCAAGGTGAGTGTTTTTTAATCTAATGATTCTTGACCTAATGTTGTTCTCTACCAATGCAATGTCTCCTAAAAGGTATTGATTGAAACAAAATCATGTTCAATGTTGAATGTATAATGTGCATTGAGAGAATAGATACTAAAAATAATAGAACAGTTTTTGACAGGGAAATCAAAACCCAAAATTTAGAACCTTTGAAGCTGTAAGACAGAAAATAAATCCATTTAAAAAAAAAATTTTTTGCACAATCATGTAAACCACTGTGCTCAAAGCAGAAATTAAGATTTGTTTACTTTGTTCGAAGAGTTATGGACAATACATGTTTTGGAATCCAGCCCTCAGAAGAGAACGGACCTCTTACAGTGGTCCCAGCTTTACTGTTTGGGGGAGCGCTGCGTTTAGTTGCACACATGTCTTATCCTACAGGGGAGGAGTCTGTTGAATGTAGTGACTCCATCTTCAGCCTGGTGCAGCTGAAAGAAGGAGTTTAACCCCTGATGGGTATACAAGCCATGCACAACGATACTGGTTTTTACTCAACCAGCTGTGAGCACTGGACTTCTGTGGAAGATTCCTCTCAATGGGGCCACTTACAACTCCCCATTTTGTATAAGGGGTGCAGTTATGGGCTTCCTTAAAATTCCCCTTAAGTCAGAAAGACTAAAACAAAGGAAAAACAGGGTGCAATCCCTTATATCCTTCCTCCTACAAACCTCTTTCTCTCTCTCCTACCAGCTCCACAACTCAATGTCAAAAGAACTATAAAGTGTAGAAAAAAGAAGTAAAAAGGAAAAAGAAAATTGAAACAGGAAACATTGGAAGGGAAATCTCTTGATATTAGAGATGGGGGCTAGGAAGATGTTCCCCCCTCGCCGGGGAGGGGGGAGGGGTGGTGATGCTTGCTCTTCCCCCAATCCCCACCCCCAAGAAAGTATGAGGAATTGGTGCTTTGCTTAGTCAAATGTAACTCATGAATAAACATAAAAATCAATATAGAGTTCCAAAAAATGAAAGCAAGATCCACTCAGCCAGTTCAATTAAATACAGAATTCAGAAAAAAAGTAAAATCTTCTTTAAAAAAAATTCTTGCTTGTAAAGTGGCCAACTACAAGGATATTCAAGAAAAAAAGATTTTTAAATTTTTTTCCAAATTAGCCGAAATATGATTGAAAGATGTAGGAACAGGAAGAAAGTGAAGAACCGGAAATATATAGATCTCAAAATATTTTCATCTGATATCATATAAATATTTTAAAATATTGTAAAACTTAATTAAAATAAATTATTAAAGTTAAAAAACATGTTTTGAAATTACTTTATAAATCTATGGGAAAAATTATTACAATATGTTTAAAACAACTACTCTAAATATTATAACCTCAATACAACCCCCTCCATATTCGAGGAGGAATTTTGAAAATAAACTTCCCAGGAAGAGGGAATTTTGAAAATAAAATTTCCCCGAGGAGGGAATTTTGAAAATAAATCAAACTCCTTCCAGAGCTGGGGAGGGAATTTTGAAAGTTAACTCCAACCCAGAGGTGGGAATTTTGAAAATAACCTTCCCCAGGTGAGGGAACTTTGAAAACTGAGAACTAAATAAACGGAATAACCTGTCATTTCTTTCTCCTGGTTTACAGCTCCAGGTTTGATTTCTTCACTTGATGGTATTTTATCTCCATTCTGCTTTTTACCAGACTAAATCAGAGGTCCATATAATTTCTAGTATAATCTGATACGATACCAAATCTTGATTGATTGATATTAGGGGCAGAAATTACCCATGTTGTTATTGTAAACAATTGGAAGTAAAAAGTATGAAGTTGTAGAAAAATTCCAAACGTTGCAAGGGAGTGTTTTTTTTGTATATCATAGTTTATCTTTTACATTTCAGGGGATATTAGTTCCAAAACTAACACTTGCCATTTCTAACACTGAGTATTATAAATGGGCTAAGTCTGCATAGCTATCGATTATATATCTTTAAATCCAAGATGAGTAGAACAAAATTACACCATATATTTATAAAAAATGGCTAAAAATATGTATTGAAACAATTAATGTCGATTTTAAACTAATAATAAGGTGTTAGAATTAGTTTTTGATGATTCTTGATTTCATTTATGAACACATCCCTGTTTTGAAACAATTTCTGGATTTCAGCTCATGTTGCGTTTTCTAGTTTTTCAAATTCAGGAAATGTTTGAAAATGGAAAACCTGACATTGTCATGAAAACATTCAAGAAATTTAATATAAAAAGAACTCGTATTATAATTTTGATTTAAAAAAAAGTTTAAAATTGAGAATAGCTGTCCTTGTCATGTTTAATAAAATGTTGGTTATAGTTTTAATTATCGACTTTTACTCTGGATATAAATTGGGATCCCAAAAACCCAGTCTTTCAATTTGTGCCCATTTCTTAACACATAGTGTAAGAAATGGGCCAAGTGTTAGTTTTGGAACCAATGTCCCCTGCATTTAAATTATTGATATTTGAATTTGTTAACACCTAAAATGAAATACACAAAAAAGTTCACAATGATATAGAAAGTGTATTTTCATGCCACTAAATGTACTATCAACCCCGTTCCCATTTGGAATCAGAAATGGAATTATATCGACCCCTGGCCAAAATATATTTAGATTTACAACAGTACCCTTTCATCCTTTGACTGATCCAAGCATGACGGATTTATCCTTATTTATCTTTAGAAGCGCTTGTAATTGTTGAACACTTTGATTGCAAAATGTTTTATATTAAGAAATATTAATCTATATGAAAAAAATCCTTAATGAAACTCATTCAATTAAATATATACAATTTAGGGTACTTCAAAAATATCAAAATCTTGAAATTCAAAAGGCACTAATCGCAACCTCGTTTTCAGCCTCCTGGAACCCTGAGGAACTTCGTTCCGTTTAGTGCCTTTTAAATACAAAGATTTTTAAAAAAAAGTACTCATACATAAATAATCATCAACCTTCATTCCGTAGAAATCTAGACATTTACAGGCGCTGTTTTTGAACAAAAATGTATGAGGTTTTGACATAGAAATCTTAAGTAATAAAAAGCATGCACCTATTATTGTATCGGTCAGAAAACCCCTTAGACCATTATAGAGGATAAGAAAGATAATGGTACCAATAGGTTACAAAGATGGAAAATATTAAAAAAATCAAGAAAGATAATGGTACCAATGGGTTACTAAGATGGAAAATATAAAAAAAAATCAAGAAAGATTATTGTACCAATGGGTTACTAAGATGGAAAATATTAAAAAAATCAAGAAAGATAATGGAACCAATGGGTTACTAAGATGGAAAATATTCAAAAATCAAGAAAGATAATTGAACCAATGGGTTACTAAGATAGAAAAATCAAGAAAGATAATGGCACCAATAGGTTACAAAGATGGAAAATATTTAAAAAAAATCAAGAAAGATAATGGCACCAATAGGTTACAAAGATGGAAAATATTCATAAATCAAGAAAGATTATTGTACCAATGGGTTACTAAGATGGAAAATATTAAAAAAATCAAGAAAGATAATGGAACCAATGGGTTACTAAGATGGAAAATACTCAAAAATCAAGAAAGATAATTGAACCAATGGGTTACTAAGATAGAAAAATCAAGAAAGATAATGGCACCAATAGGTTACAAAGATGGAAAATATTTTTTAAAAAATCAAGAAAGATAATGGCACCAATAGGTTACAAAGATGGAAAATATTCATAAATCAAGAAAGATAATGGTACCAATGGGTTACTAAGATGGAAAATACTCAAAAATCAAGAAAGATAATGGTACCAATGGGTTACTAAGATGGAAAATATTCAAAAAATCAAGAAAGATAATGGAACCAATGTGTTACTAAGATGGAAAATATTCATAAATCCAATGGGTTACTAAGATGGAAAATATTAAAAAAATCAAGAAAGATAATGAAACCAATGGGTTACTAAGATGGAAAATATTAAAAAATCAAGAAAGATAATGGAACTAATAGGTTACAAAGATGGAAAATATTAAAAAATTAAGAAAGATAATGGTACCAATGGGTTACTAAGATAGATAATATTCATAAATCAAGAAAGATAATGGTACCAATGGGTTACTAAGATGGAAAATATTCAACAAAAAATCAAGAAAGATAATGGTACCAATGGGTTACTAAGATGAAGAATATTCAAAAATCAAGAAAGATAATGGTACCAATAGGTTACTAAGATGAAGAATATTCAAAAATCAAGAAAGATAATGGTGCCAATGGGTTACTAAGATGAAAAATAATGAAAAATATTCAAAAATTAAGCAAGATAATGGTACCAATGGGTTATTTTGATAAAAAATTTAAAAAATCAAGAAATATAATGGTACCAATGGGTTACTAAGATAAAAAAAAAATAAAAATTAAGAAAGATAATGGGTTACTATGATGGAAAAGATACCTTATGAACTGAATAGGTGTTTCTAATCACAGGGAGACCAGAACAGGGCGAACTCAAACTCTTTCTGTAAGAATAAATAGTTTAACATCTCAAAATTAAGACCCC